AATATTGTTCAAACACTTATCGTCTTATGACTTCGTGATTAGGGTTGTCTCTTTGTTCGTGAACAACTCGTGTTCGACTTGTCAAGCAAACCAGCCGAACACGAACACATTTTTTTAGTTCGAAATATAAACGAGCTGAAGACGAGCTGAGCATGCTCGTGTTCGGCTTGTTTAAAAAAATCTAATTGTCTACCAAGCTACAAATATTTATAATCAATTAATATAATAATTAAAAAAGTGGAATAAAAATTATTAAATTAGATTCAAATAATGTTTTAATATAAATAATAATTTTTAAATATTGTTCAAATACTTATCGTCTTATGACTTCGTGATTAGGGTTGCTCTTTGTCCGTGAACAACTCGTGTTCGACTTGTCAAGCAAACCAGCCGAACACGAACACATTTTTTTAGTTCGAAATATAAACGAGCTGAAGACGAGCTGAGCATGCTCGTGTTCGGCTTGTTTAAAAAAATCTAATTGTCTACCAAGCTACAAATATTTATAATCAATTAATATAATAATTAAAAAAGTGGAATGAAAATTATTAAATTAGATTCAAATGATGTTTTAATATAAATAATAATTTTTAAATATTGTTCAAACACTTATCGTCTTATGACTTCGTGATTAGGGTTGTCAAAAGGATTCTTTGTTCGTGAGCGGCTCGTGTTTGACCCGCTAAAAAAACGAGGCAAACACGAACACACTTTTTGAGCTCGAAATATAAACGAGCCGACACGCACTGAGCCTAACTCGCTCGTGTTCGGCTCGTTTACACCCCTACCTATGAATAAACTAAAAGGATACAACAATATTTCCTTATTATTTTATCATCACATTATTTTATTCCTCCAACCATTGTGGTTTAGAACGTGTTTAGCTCTTCATTGCAAAAAGCACGAAAATCATCTTCCTCTTCCACTACGTGATTAGGGTTGTCAAAACGATTCTTTGTTCGTGAGCGGCTCGTGTTTGACCCGCTAAAAAAATGAGGCAAACACGAACACACTTTTTGAGCTCGAAATATAAACGAGCCGACACGCACTGAGCCTAACTCGCTCGTGTTCGGCTCGTTTACACCCCTACCTATGAATAAACTAAAAGGATACAACAATATTTCCTTATTATTTTATCATCACATTGTTTTATTCCTCCAACCATTATGGTTTAGAACCTGTTTAGCTCTTCATTGCAAAAAGCACAAAAATCATCTTCCTCTTCCACTATGACCTTTATCTTATGTGTATGCTACCTACAAATCACTATGCTGACCATGTTTACAACACTCTCATTAGCCAAGGGTCACTAACAACTATCTCCTCTCTAACTGATGAATATCTTAGTCAATCTTGGCAAATACTAATTTCATGGCCTTCACATTATCAACTTTCATTTAGTCTGCCATGTGAGCACTGCGATGCTTTTGTTGATCTAGTCATTGGTCTCCAACAACCACCTATTCTTGTTAACAGTTCTGTTTGTCAACCGGTGCCCTCCTTTTTAGAAGCATTCATTTTTTCTTGTTGTCTACACTTAAGCCTCTACCAATGGCTTAGCTTGCATCCTAAAGAGAGAACGCTGTAGAGAACACGCAGTACCTCCTTTTGTAAGAAATATTGGTGTTTGGAGTTGGCTAGAAACACAAAACAATTATATTAGGAAACAAATAATTGCAAGGAGAATAAAATGAAGAAATTGATCGCATTATATTAAAGGAAATAAATTTTCACAAAACCTTACATTATCTTATGAGGAGATTATTTTTGATGTTGTCCTAAGAGATATTAATCTCCGTGTCGTCCTTCTCAATTAACTTTGGAGTTGATGGAGGCATTGCAATATTTTAGCCCATCAATGGCCAACTTGTTAGATCCCTTTACTGCAAACTTTGTCTTGTCTTTTTGCCACTTCTTGATCTTGAAAAAAAATTTGTCTTACAACACCCTCCTATCGTTTGGAAGCTCTCTCTTGATATCAACTTGTTAGATCCCTTTACTGCAAACTTTGTCTTTTCTTTTTGCCACTTCTTGATCTTGAAAAAAAAATTTGTCTTACAACACCATCCTATCGTTTGGAAGCTCTCTCTTGAAAAAAAAATTTTCTTCTGCATTGCATTTCCAAATTCAACAATAATATACTTTAGAATGGCTCCCATTGCTGTAATGCTTTCTTCCATATGCAAGGTGCTAGCCTTCTATCTGCTATCACCACCTTTCAAGAATTTTTACAAAAGGTCAACAATTTTTTGAACTTAGCTATCCAATAGATCAAGTACCTTTCATGCCAAGAATATTCCTCACATTGCAAAGCTTCCACGTTGTCCCATTTTTTATCAGAACTAAATCCCACAACACTAGGTGTTTACTATTAATAAGTGGAGCTTCTCTCAATCTCTTATATAATAGTTAATCATAAACTCTGTATGCAGTTGAGTGAAATGACGTGGCCCTGTTAAACTTTTCACCTTAAAGATTAGTGTGTCATAAATCTGTTCACATGCACTATGCATAGAATCCATTTATTTTGGACCCTATCTACCAATTGCTTACGAACAATTTCTTTTTATATGGTCAATCATAATACAAGGTCAATATGCACTATGTGAACCTTGTATTGACCACTCTATTGATAATTGAATCCGTCAATGCTTCGATGATTACTGCTATTTTGAGTTGAAAATTTGTTGTCGATTTCTAAATAAAAGATTATGTACTTAAACTTTCTCATATGTCTTTGTTGAAGGTGAATCTATGATATTCTTGAAATTTATTGTGGATCATTTATAAGAATTGCTGACAATCATCATAACATAGTCTTATTTTTCAGGCAGTGTTGAAGCAAATTTTAGGCATAAATCTCACTGTAAAATTTGAGGTTGATTGCTTCAGTTGTCTTGTGATAAATTAAGCTATTTGATAAGCTCGGTGAGTGAAATTTCTTCAAACATTTTGAGATTGAAAGACTTACATGTATGCGTAACCTGCTGAAGTTGGAGGGCTTTTCATACAGGGCACAAGTCACTTTTATAAATGATGCTTTAGCTATCTCATTAGGGATAGTAAAGGCGATATTGATACCGAGGGATAGGTGGATAATTTCTAACATGTATTTGTACATTAGGTCTCACTTTTTTTGATATGCGGATGGCAACTTTATTTCTTTTAATATTTGATGGTGCTTTTTCTTGTAGAGATAATCTTATATCTGTCCAATAATAAAAATTGATTAATAAACATTTTCTACACAAGTCCAGATAAATCTAATACACAGATAATCAAAGTCAAAACTATAAAGAATATTAAACAAAAAATTTTCAATTTAAGCTATAAGAAATATCATGCACATAGGCTTTCATATGAAGGTCATAAATTAGCTATTGAGCTAATAAAACATTATCTGATATAATAGTACTTTTTGAAAATCTAGATTGATTATTTGATTTTGGGTATGGTTTTATTTAACACAGAAAATAAGCTAATAGGACAAAAATCCTTCACAGTATGGAGGACTAAGATATTTAGGAATAAGGGTTATAGAAGTACACCCAAAATTTTTTTGAGATGACCTATCTCTTGGAAGTTTGACATTTCAAGAAGTTATTTTTTTACCATTATTTGGGAAAATTGTTTGCTTGCTTTTCAAATTATTTTGATAAATGAGCTTGCTTCATAGAAATAATAATGAAAAAATTCAAATCGGTTAAATGACATAACTAAAAATAATATCTATTAATAAATAATATTAACTATAATTTTCTTAAAAATAATGAATGAAATTTATAATGAATAATTATGCATTCATTAATCAAATTAAAATCAAAATACTTATTATTATTTTAAAATGATTTGTGTAGTAATAATAAGTGATTTTTTTAATTAAGAAATAAATTCAACAACATTTTCAATCAAAAGAACCTTTCATGCTAATTGAAAATAAAATACATAAAAGTATCTTTGTGATAGTATAAAAATATATTAGAGACACTACTGTCTTAAAAGCAATTTCAATGTTGTTTATATTAAAACCATAACTTTAGAAAGCATGGGTTCTTTACTTTTTCATTACTCAATTTTCAACATTTGCACTATTGGACTATTCTGCACAACAATTGACTTAACCTTACCAGATGCCCCGGAATTGATTCTACTGTATTAGAACGTTGCATTAACAAAAAATATTGCCAGACAATGCCTTAGTGGATCAAAGACTTTGGCTTTAGGAATATAAGCTATTGATGGTGGAGCTTTGCTAACTAATCTCACCCCAAAATACAAAAGTGAATGTAGACAATTCTCTTGTTAGAACTGTTGGTAATAGGTTGATTATGAAGCCTCGATTGTGGAGCTAACTTTTGCTAACCCTAACCTTAATTGTGGTCTCCAATATACATGGTTTAAAAATAATTGGGCAGTGTTCTTATAGCGCTTTGGTTGGTGGATTATGATCAATGCTTGAATATGTTTTTTTCTTGCAAATAGGGGTTTAAAGAAAATTCCTAACATATGCTAGCCATATGATGAGAATATTGTAACTAGACTTTGATAATGATTCTAAAATGATTTTATCAACCTAATTTCATGTTATTAGAATGGTGGTGGAGAGAGTTGTTAGGACTGAGATATGGGTATCAAATAGGAGAAAAAGTGTTGGCTTGCCAAGTGGCTGAGAGGAATTTTGAATTTTTTCACGCCATTAGTTTAACAACCTAATGTCATCTTATCCATAGGTTATAAGTGTCTTAGTAAATCCTTACAATATTCTTATAATTTTAAAATCTAATTTTTGAGAGTTTATATCTACATGGATGCTTTGATAGTCATAATAAATATTCTTTTGGTATAAAATATGCTTCTGTGGCGGCTATGTGATTGTCTTGTTACAATAATATTTACTTCCATTAAGTTTTGCTACTTTTATTTTATACATTGCATTGTTGTATTTCTGCCTGTCTATGTGATTGTTGTTTCAATTTTGTTTTATTCTGCTCTTGCTGCAGGTTCTTGTTATGACTGCTCAAATTTTGTTAAACATTCTCAGACACAGTATAATAAAAATGGATTCCATACATCTTCTTATTCTAGATGAGTGCCACCATGCAGTTAAAAAGCATCCATATTCGTTAGTAATGTCGGAGTTTTATCATACGACTCCGAAGGAGAAAAGACCAGCTGTTTTTGGCATGACAGCGTCTCCAGTTAACTTGAAGGGTGGGCTATTCATTCATTAGATATTTACTTATTTTGATCCCTTTTTCATTCTTTTAAAACTTTTGTTAATTAGTCCTATGCTTTTTTGGAATTACCAAATGGAGAGTGCTTTTTCTCTACAGGAGTCTCTAGTCAAGAGGATTGTGCTATCAAGATTAGAAATCTAGAAAGTAAACTGGACTCCATTGTTTGTACAGTCAAAGACCGGAGGGAACTAGAGAAACATGTCCCTACTCCACTGGAAACAGTCGTCCATTATGACAAAGCTGCTACCTTGTGGTCTCTTCATGAGCAAATAAAACAAATGGAAGCTGCAGTAGAAGAAGCTGCAAGTTCCAGTTCTAGGAGAAGCAAATGGCAGTTCATGGGAGCCAGAGATGCTGGATCCAAAGAAGAACTCCGTCTTGTTTATGGTGTTTCTGAAAGAACAGAAAGTGATGGTGCTGCTAATCTAATCCAAAAATTAAGGGCCATTAACTATGCATTGGCTGAGCTTGGTCAGTGGTGTGCTTACAAGGTACTGGATGGTTGAAATGTTAATTTCACTTTTTACGCATCATTTTTTTCAAATGAATTGCTCTGCTAACACATAATTTTGCAGGTTGCACATTCATTTTTAACAGCCTTGCAAAATGATGAGAGGGCAAATTACCAGCTTGATGTGAAGTTTCAGGAATCATATTTGAAGAAAGTCGCTACTTTATTGCAATGTCAATTGTCTGAGGGTGCTGTAATTAATGATGGAAATAATGCTGCAATTGTAAAGAATACTGACGTGCATTCTGTGGATGATGAAATTGAAGAGGGAGAGCTGTTAAATAGTCATGGTTAGTTGTTTTTCATGGCCTTTTTAGAATCATTTAATATAGGATTTTTACAATTACTTTATGAATAAAAAATATTTTACAAAATGTTTACATTGCCTTTTTTTAATAGAAATTTACTGCAATATTTGTTTTTGATGATACTTCTTGTCTTTAGTTTCTTTTGGTTGAAATCTTCAATTTTTAGTCATTTTGACAAAGCCATTGTCTTAAAAAGTGCAGATCTTCGTTCATGAGAGAATGAGATACCTTTTGCCAATAGCTATAGAAATGCAGTTTCATGTAGTAGATGTTTGATCAAATTTTTATTGGTTGGATTATAGCTAGCGAAATATTCTCTAGCATGTTACATTTGGCTTAAAATTTTTGCCGTGGATTGATATTTTCATGAACATGAGATCGTGAGGTTTTTTTTTTATGTTACATTTGGCTTAAAATTTTTGCCGTGGATTGGATTGATATTTTCATGAACATGGGATCGTGAGGTTTTTTTTTTTCCCCCGTTTGAAGTGCTTAAAATTTCAAAGTTAAAATTCTTGACCCTGCTTTTCCCTGTACTTTATTCTTCCAGTTGTCTCTGGTGGTGAACATGTTGATGAAATAATTGGAGCTGCTGTGGCAGATGGCAAAGTTACACCGAAGGTTCAGGCATTAATTAAAATACTTCTCAAGTATCAGCACACAGAAGATTTTCGTGCTATTATATTTGTGGAGCGTGTTGTTTGTGCACTTGTTCTTCCAAAAGTAAATAATGCAGCTTTGTAATTTCAGAAGTTACTTTTGTAACTTTGTCAGTAAATTTATCTTTTTTTTATGTACAATGCAGGTGTTATTAGAGCTTCCATCTCTAAGTTTCATCAGATGTGCCAGCTTGATAGGGCACAACAATAATCAGGAAATGCGGACATGCCAAATGCAGGACACAATTGCCAGGTTCCGTGATGGTCGAGTATGTATAATGATGCTTTATATTTGGAACATAGGGGTGTGCAGTCACGTGCAATTTTTCTAATTAAATGTTTATTTTTTATTGTATTCCATCTTATAAATGCTTAAATTTTGTGATTCATTCTCTTTACAATGTGATGATATATTTTTTTTCTTATGATAATGCTGTAAGTTTATAACAAAACATTATTAATAAGAGGCGTTTACATGCTACACAATTCTTATGTATTTACATATCTAACACTTAAACTTTCATAAGATAAAATTCTAATCTTTAATATCACATAAAAAAAAATGTCACAACTGCTAACTTTTTAAAAGTGAAGCACACATTTTAATGCATAGCTTCATGTCACAAAAATGTTATAAATGCAAATATAAAACTTTAGGTGTTAAATATGTAAAACAATGAAATTGTGAGGTATATATGTAATTTCCCCATTATTAGTATCATTATTTCATGTAAAGAAGGTTTATAATATTGTGTGCTAATTTTCAGGTTACTTTGTTGGTGGCGACGAGTGTTGCTGAAGAAGGGCTTGACATTCGTCAATGTAATGTGGTCATAAGATTTGATCTCGCCAAAACTGTTTTGGCGTATATCCAATCTAGAGGCCGTGCTCGGAAACCTGGATCCGACTACATATTGATGCTTGAAAGGTACTATGGCTATACTTTCATCTCTTCATCTACTTCGTAATGTGCATAAACATCTGATTGTTGTGGAAGATTGTTTTCTGACATAAAAAGTTGCTTTTGTTAGGGGAAATTTACAACATGAGGCCTTCTTAAAGAATGCCCGAAACAGTGAGGAAACACTGAGAAAAGAAGCTTTAGAAAGGACGGATATTAGTCATCTTAAGGGTAACCCAAGACTCACTTCTGTGGAAGCAGCGCCTGTTTCTATTTATTTGGTTGAATCAACTGGTGCTGTTGTCAGCTTAAATTCTGCTGTTGGGCTGATCCACTTTTACTGCTCTCAGTTACCCAGTGATAGGTATGAACTCTTTGTTTTACTTCTGGATTTACATAATAAGATGGATTTATTTTCTCATCTATGTGGTGTAGGTACTCCTTACTTCGTCCTGAGTTCATTATGGAAAGGCATGAGAGAGCCGGTGGTTTGATTGAATATTCTTGCAAGCTTCAGCTTCCCTGCAATGCTGCATTTGAGAAATTGGATGGTCCTCCATGCAATTCAATGCGGCTTGCACAGCAAGTATGGTTTTCATGCCTTTTAGAGTTTTGGATTTTTGGCATTGGAGAGAACCTTTAGATCAGTTTTATGAAAAAATGAATATCTTCTACACAGGCTGTTTGTTTGGCTGCTTGTAAGAAACTACATGAATTGGGAGCATTCACTGATGCGCTTTTGCCAGACAAGGGAGCTGGTGAGGAAGGCGAGAAAATTGAACAAAATGGTGTGGGAGATTCTCTTCCTGGTACTTCACGGCATAGAGAATTTTATCCTGAAGGTGTGGCAGAAATTCTCCAGGTGAGTTATTCGAAGTATCTCTGGTGGTTTGACATATCATTTTGAAAATTAAAATGAGAAATAGGAGAGTTGCAACATGAGGGTTTGAGTTTTATTTTTTAATTTCGTATGAAAAGAAGATAAATAAGTTGAATATAAATAGATGGAAAACCAAAAATTTAGGAAATAAAAAAACTATAAAATAATCTTTAATTTTTTAATCTAGAATAAAATACACGGTAGAATTAGAATGCTGTTGTCCTTGGATTGTTTGGTTGCCATTCATAAATTGTTGGATGGCTATAGATAAAAAACCGTTATTCTCGGATTGTTGGATTGCTGTAGACAAAGTGGGATTTAAATTTATTTCTCAAAAAATGTTTGATGTGTTTATCATGCTCTTTCTGATCAGACAATCAAAATTCATTTAGTGTGAAGCCGTAGTTTGGGTATCTTTTATTCAAAATTTATTAGAGCATAACTTTGTTGGATTGATCTTTTCTTTTTTATGTGTTTATCATGCTCTTTCTGATCAGACAATCAAAGTTCATTTAGTGTGAAGCCGTAGTTTGGGTAACTTTTATTCAAAATTTATTAGAACATAACTTTGTTGGATTGATCTTTTCTTTTTGTTTTTTTAAGATGAAATATTTGTCTATCACAATTTAACTTAAGACTATCATGGTGGACAAAATTTTTACAATTCTTCTGATAGTCTGAATGCATCAATATGGTTGTAGAGATTTTTTTTTTTGGTTAATTATTTAACTCTTTTAACAATCTTTTCAACTATGGTACCTCGCAATATCAAATATCCATACTATATTCTATTTTATTATTGCTTTTTGAGGATACATTGTTTCCTACTTCTCATGTAATCAGGTTTCCCTATTGCATATGCATAATGGATGGAGGCTGATCTTCTGTCACTAGAGCTACTACTACTAAAATTGCATTCCATGTATTCAGTTTTAGTTCTACTTAAATAAAGGTCTTTAGACTCTAATGTAGACCTTCATAATTCAAGTTTTTTCTGGGCTTTTTCTCTCGTTTTATCCACGAGAAGGATATCATCAACAAAAAACATACACCAATGTACATCCTCCTGTAGATGTCCATTAAGACCATCCATAACTAAAGCAAAAAGATATAGGCTTAAAGCCGATATGTAATCCAATAGAAATAGGAAAATATTTGGTCAATCCTCCTTCAATACAAAATTCAAGAGTAAGACTTAAAGTCATGAAATCATAAATTTAGTATCTGGTGTATGACCTCAACCTTGTCTTTAAGGTAATATGGCATTGTAGATCAATATCTTTATTTATAGAATTTTTTGGCTTGTTTGCACTTAAATGGTCCTTGAATTTGATTCAAGCTCTCTTGGGTGTGTTGGAGATATATTAAAAGGAAAGGAAATAAGACTTTGATGTAGCTCTAATGTGGCGGTAGCTATGACTTTAGTACTGACATGGCTTCTCATATGTTGTAATTTGGAAAATGTATCGCAAGACTTTGATGCACCGACAGTGGCTTGTAGAAACTCACCAAAATTTTGTGTAACCTTTCAAACTTCAGTCTTCCATGAATCTCAATGACCTTTAGAGCCTCGAATCATTTTGAATGCCTGAATGTAGATTACCTTTAGAGCTTATGAATTCTCTTGATATCTCGGCAGACTCTCCAAACTCTAGAGCCTACTGAAATGCTATTGGATCCCCTAAATGGACTAAATAGAAGTTTATTCACAGTTACTAGAAAGGGTGTTAAGATTTTTTTTAGAATATGTTAGAATACTTTCTAGAATTAGCCACAACAAATGTGCAGATCATACCCACCTACAATAAAATTGTGTTCAATCCCAATCTTACTTAAGCAAGCTCGATTGAGTAAATTTGACTAGGGTCAATTTTTGTGGTTGGCAACGACGGTCCTATGGAGGCCACTAGGTATAATATCTTTAATCATGAATGATTAATTAGAATATATCACCTTAAAAATCTCAATGCTACAAGCCCAATAACATGTGATGAATAGAAGTTTTGATGGTTGGATTGACGAGAATAATTTTACAAAGATTCATCACTCATATTTGGGGCATCTAGAAAATGTTTAGGCTATGCTTATTTTTTTTTAAAAAAATAAATGTATGCCTTTTTGAAAATGAGCCGATTGCTAAAAATGACTAGTCATGAAATTTTGTGGAGACTGCATAAGCTTTGAGTAAATTAATGAGTGTCTGCTAGTGTGATTGGAAAATGCCTATGCTCTGTTCTTCATAAGGACTTGGATGGCCTTCTTTGGCAATGGAAGGTACAATTATGGTTGCTTTTCCAACATTATGAAGGCATAGATTAATCTTGGCAAACTTATCTAGCCATTATTGCTCAATTTCAACCCATTTAGTCTTAAATTTTCTCTAACTTACATGATCTTGATGTCAATGGATTTGTTCAAGATGAGATGGTCCTTATAATGGCATTTTTTGTGCATTTTGGGCCTTTTTGATATTCAAATTAAATTTCTCACTAAATAGACCTTCAATTCAGAGCTCTTGATTTGCATCTCGAGTAGTGAATCCAAAAAGAAATCATTCTCAATATATGCTGAACGGACAAGATACAATACAAACGCAGGACACACCATTATAATAAAAATTATTAAAAACATATTTATATATTAAATAAATAAAAGAGGAGTTAATTCATTAACTTTCAAAAGTTAAGATGCTCTTAAACATATATCTTTAGTTTAGGACATACAAAATGCAAGCATAATAATATAAGTTATCTTATATTATATCAAAATTTAACTTCGTTAATTCATTATAAGTAATAAAAGGATGATCATTTTGTTTGGCATGTACTTTTAATTCACAGTTCACTTCCACTATTATCTTCATCATTAAATATCATAGATTCCAATTCTAGCTCATCACGAGAAAGGGTTGCAATCTCCAAATTTCCTATATTGCTGAGGGTCTCAAATCTATCTCCTACAACATCCTACAAGTTAGATAAAACATATAATCAAATAAGAAATAAGCAACAAAATTAACAATGTATCCAATATTCATGTGAGAATGAGTGGTATTTACTATAAATTTTGGGGTATTTACAGACATTTCGTTGAATTCTTATGTATTTACATATCTTGCACCTATACAACAACAACAACAACAACAACAAAGCCTTAATCCCACTACGTGGGGTTGGCCACATGAATCCTTTTTCTCCATTGCGTCCTATTTAGTGTCATATTTTCATTTAGTTCTAGTAAATTAAGATCATTTTTTATACAATAAGCCCAAGTCTTCTTAGGTTTACCTCTGCCTTTCTTAACACAAGTCCAATCTAAAACATCTACTCTCCTAATCAGATCATCACATGGTCGACGTTTAATGTGACCAAACCATCTAAGACGACTTATTGTCTGTATTTACATATCTTACACCTATAATTTGATTTTTATTTTTATGCCACCCAAATATTTCATATCACATCTAAATATATAAATCAAGCCAAATGAAATATTTCTTATTAGTTTTTATGCATATAAAGGTGGTATATATAAAAAAAATGAAAAATCGGGGTTAGATACGTAAATACATAAGAATTTAGTAGTATGTATGCAAATTATTCCTAAATTTTATATTTTTTTAATTTTAATGTTAAAAATATCTTTCAGAGTTTTTTTATTGATTAATTTAGGACACGTATGTCGGAAATTAGGACATCTATGTTCGACATGCGTGTCTCTTCATTTCTTAATATTATTTACTTTGGACACTTATGTGCCATGTTCGATACGTGTCCCAGCCATGTTGTAGTTGTATCCGTGTCCGACACTGCACGACTCCTCTTTTAGGAGTTCCCGTGCAACATTGTTCTCAATTAAGTAGGAGTTTTTAGGATTACAAGTATTGCCTTCTTTTTCTTGGATGTTTTGACTTGCATGTGGGATTGTATTAAAGCCGAGTATGTTGTGGATTGAATTCGGCTTGGCTGTATTATATCTTTCTGTCTTGCTTGGGCTTAAGCTTAGGCTTTTGTTTTTATGTATGTTTATATTTGACTTGCTTAATTTTTTAAATCATTCTACTTAGCTTTGGACTTGGATTGTTTATACTAATTGAAAAGAGTGTTTCAATAAATTACTAAAAAAACTAAAAATTAGAACAAGCACATAGATTTTCATATAAAGTTATTAATAAATTATTTACAAATTTAAAAATAATAAGCAATTGAGCAAATTTTGAATTAGTTTCTAACCACTTTACATGGACTTAATAAGACGGTATATGAATTGCACACAAATTTTCTTGTAATTAAACAATACAAATAACTGCTAATAAACTAATTCTTTGAAATAAAGAAATAATGAGAAATTACGTTAAATTAATGTATATGTAAACATTGAATTATAACATATTACTATATAAATAATACTTAAACCTAAAATAAAAAATAATATTAAATTAGAATATATTATTTTTAAATTAAATATGTTATAGTTAATCAAAATTTGTTTAAATAATATATCATATGTTATGTGAGTTATCATTGAGCTTAATATACTTGTTTAACGACAAACAAGTTTATTTGTAAATATAAATGAACAAGCTGGGCTGTGTTCATATTTGATTCCTTTAACTTTTGAGTTTCAAAAATTGTTCAAACTTATTTATTCGCTAATTTGAACAAACCTAAACCAGTATTAATTGAATTGAGCTCGAGTGTATTTGTTCATTTATAGTTCTACTTGCAAGTTCAAAAATATCATGCAATGAAAATATATGCTGCGTAAATCACAATCCAAGGAAAATTATAAGACAATCACTCTCTTGACATCAATGTAAATCTTCTGATGAAAATATAAATGTATGCACTCATTTGAAGCACAAAATATGAACTTTGAGGGAGGCATTGTATTTTTTTTTAAAGTTTATTCATGTCTATGAGGTTTAACCGGGTGAGAAAGTGTTCTGTCATGTTTGACCGGATTTAGTTCTAGGTTTATGCCATCCCAGCTATCCAATGGCATGGAATGAGTACCGCAGAGACGACTGATAGGACTTATATATCTAGATATGGGACTTTGTCTAACTCCATCTAAATGGATGTTAAGTTTCAATGCAATGCAAGATGAGCTGGGCAATATGGAGGGAAAATGACATTACACAAAGGTCAATAATGCATTTCGAAAATTCAAAGTGATTCTAGGTGTATGTGTTGACGCGATTCTATGCTATGCAACATGCATGTATTTAAATCAGTTGAATTAATCTAATGTTTGTAACTTGGAGGTATATAGCCAAATGGTGCAATATTTTTATTTCCAAATTACAACGGACAAACTTACATTTTTTATGTTTTACAAGCTATAATATTATATCTTGTAAAATGTTTACTAGGTTGCTCAACTATGTTTGCCTTTATAGAGGGTAAAAACACACGCTCACTTAAGCATGTGATAATTATGAAGTTCTTTAAATGTACAAATATTTTTAGGAAAGTAGTAAATGTAGAACACAAGATAGAATAAACTTGCATTAAACATTTAGTTCTCTTTCATCTTGATCTTCTATCTCACTTTCCGAGGGACTTTGTCAAACTGCATTAACAAAAGTACAAAAATACATTTATTATTCCCCGGATTAGGTTATTTGCATAACCCTTTTAAGTTTCACACTAATTATTACAATAAATGGATAAATCTCTATTTACATATTCCACACACAATAATAGTACAATAAGTCCCATTCTTTTGGATTGCGACATTGGTGCAAGAAGCAGAATATAAATATCGTGGTGTACCTGAGCTATCGAGGTTGTTGAGTCGTTTCGAATGCTACTATATATAAGGGTTAAAACACAATCTTTAATTGCAGAACAACATAAAAGAATAACAAATAACTCAAAATTCTATCTCAACTAGTTCAAGAACTCGTTACTCAACTGTGGTCCAAACATCCATTCATCACTTGGACCGCACAAAACTAGTGGGCTAATATCTTCTCCATGTAACATGAAGAGAACCAAAATAAACAAACCCAACACTCACCAGCTATTATCTTCCCCACGGAAGCAACATCTAAGAACTTCATCACATCAAGATTCATGTCTTTAGTCCTCTCATATTGAGCGAGTTTTATTGTAGATGGCAAGACTTCACTCTTCACCAAGAAATACACGTTTGGCCTAGTTCTTATTGGCCATCTTTTCTTAGAAGAGTCAAAGTAGAATTTCCTTTTCCTATCTTTCACCTTATTCTTAAGGCTGTGTAGCTTCAGGTCTTGATGGTGAAGGGACCCATGAGGAGATTGATCGAACACAACACTTTTATCCTCTTCATACATAGAATCAATCTAAATATGATTTGGGCCAGATTTTACGTTAAAAATTTAAGATATTGACCAACTTCTGATAGATTGGAAATTGTAGCCCCAGCTTGAAATGATCTCGATAGAACAAAAGCTGCTTACCATAGAGATTCAACTTCTCTTTGGTCACCGACGATGGGTGGATGGATGAGTCGAAGACATAGTCATGTTAAGCGGATGCTACATTTTCTGCAGTTATTTTTGACTTCCATAGATTTGTAGCTTCTATGAACACTGCAAAACCAAAGCGAATGCATCATAAAACTGAAGGATGCAAGAAAAAGTTTATAAATGATGACCAATTGAGTAAACTATTGTGAAAATCTTTTTATAGAGTGAGAGACTATAATTATAACAAGGGTAAATCATGAAAAATCAGGATGCGAAACTCAAAAATTACATTTAATAAAGTCATCGCGTCATCGAAGTTCCGTAGTTTGATCCTGCGTGAGGGCACCAAAATGAAAATATGTCACTCAGTAGACGCAATGGAGAAAAATGATTTATGTAGCCGACCCCACTTAGTGGGATAAATGCTAGTTGTTGTTGTTGTTATAAAACCATCACACTACCCCACTTAGTGGGATAAAGGCTAGTTGTTGTTGTTGTTATAAAACCATCACACTATCATTCAAATCAAGGCGCTAGGCCCAAAATTTTTTATTTGTTCGAGAGATATCCTTCATTACAACTTATTCGATTTGAGCGCACTTACAAGATCACAAATAAGCACAATGAACAAATCACTAAGAAGAAAAATGGACTTTCACACAGGGGTTTGAAAGGATTTCTGCTTGAAGCCAACTATACTGAATAAGTCGCTTCAATACAAATCTCCAACAACTTCGAATTAAGCCAAGTGACTAGATTCAGCTTGATCTGAAGCAGCATACACCTATCCTTTAGATCAGCTAAGTGATTCCTTAAATTACATAGGGAGCCTTTCAATTCTGCAACTGCATGTTTCAACTTGACCATCTATTGCACAAAATCAATTGAATCAATTGTCGGAGCAACTCTTAGAAATCCTATGATGAATTTTCCTCATCTTGTTGTCGTAAAGCAGACACCACAAACACACAATCCTCTTGGTTCTCTCCCACAACTTTTGTCCAGCTTGTCTTCAGCTGTGAAAGAAACCCTGCGAGAAAAATACTGACCATCCTCTTCTTCAGCCAGGTCGTCCTTCTCTTTAGCAGGCTCCAACGCCACAATCAAGTTTAGCTTGCCAACATTCTTTGTGTGAGAATGTGATCCCCTGGTTTCGTTATAAGTGAAAAGCATTACAAGCAAAAAATGGAGAATAATAGTGATATGATACACCTTTAATGTTTACTTATTTTTGTGCAAATATTTTACAAATCATCTTACTTGCATTCATGTTGAAACTATGAAGATGTAGGCACTCGATCCACCAACATTAGTAGACACAAATAAGTAATTAGCAACTTCTCGGTGAGATTTTGATTTGAGGAGTTGGATTCTCAAGAAGATTACCTCTCGACTTGCCCAAATCATTGATAGTATTCCCAGAGGAACTTGTGGGAAGGACTTCCCTTGAGAAAAGGACAACCCTCTTTCATCAGCTTCATCATCTCCCTCTCTCATAATCTCCAAACCACACAAACACTAACAAAACACTTCTCATATTCTCCAAACCATATAATCACACAAATATAAAATACCTAATGAAGGGCCGAAAATACACATAAGGAACCCTAAATTAAAATAAGGTAGTAGTAATAAACTTACTAAGAGCACCACCCGAAAGGCCAAAAATCATAAGTTTCAGAGAGACAAAGCTAGGCTCGTAAAAGGGAATCAGAGGTATAGAGAGGAGATAGCAAAATAGTTCACAAGACGCGGACGATATATACTACCAATCGATAACATAGAGAAAATAAGAATATTGTTAGTGCCGCCGCTGCGGAGGGAGGGAGAGACGGAGGGATGGAGGGATGGAGGGAAGAGCGACGATACGACGACGAAGGGGAGAAATCTAGGGTTAAAAGATGTTTTTGAATTGGGAATGAGTGGGTACTAGGGTCGAGGAGTGTAACAGAAGGTAAGTTTAGGGATAGAGAGAACCACACGTTGTAATCTCGATTATCTGATCCCCATCACACCGAAGTCATTTGCTCCACGACTTTGCCCCTAATCGATATGACGTTACGTTCTATCAAGATTGCGGGCTATTCGATCTGATATAGTAGTGAATTGAAATCGAATCAAATCTAAACTAATTATTAGGTGTGGCTTATAGCTCGGCTCAAATTCTTCGATTCGAGCCAAAACCCATTTTGATTATCGAGTGATTAACGATATTCAAGTTGATTTCATAGTCCTACTCAATACTACATGCGGTATGCCACATCTTCTCATCCGCATGTCAAACTCGATACTTGATCCTAAATTGCCTTAGACACTTCACCTGCCCGCTTCCATTTTCCCCTTATGCTTTCTTCTTTGTGCATGATACCACACAGGTCTCTACATCTCGCTCGCTAAATACCACTCGAGCCTTGTTCTTCATCTTCCTCTCTCGATTACAATTCTTAGTCTGCACAGGTTCTCATGATCACGTCCATACTCCTTCGTTTCCTCCATCGCAAATCTTCAACTTCTTTGCTTTAAGTGAGCCGGATAATATCGGTTCAATTTCATTTAAGTTTTCTGGTTATTACAGTTCTACTATTTCTTCCCAAATTTCTAGTTTGGTTGTTTCATTCCCAAGGCATCTATGGGCTGGAACAGTTTGAAAGCATCTTTTCAGAAGGACTAGTCAGTTTGCGAACATCATAAAACTACATGGAGCTTAAAAATACAAAATCAGTGATTTCAATGTCCTGATAAATCTGTAGATCTGTAATCCAACAATATACTACTGCCTGCTACATCAACTCGTTGTTGATTCCAATTTTAGAGAAATAAGTGTATGTGCAACATAAAAGTTAGAAATTTAGATGGGTCAATGTTCATCCTGCTCATGCTTTGGAAGTTATTTTCCTTGGTAGTAAAATCTGCTAACGTTTTCAAAATTGTGAGTAAAAATCTTATAGTATGTGGTCCACACAATTGTAGATTCATGAGGTTTTTACAGCTTTTGATTCAGAAAGCACCACACTAGTATATCAAAGTATGAAGTAAATAGATAGAATATACATGTTCTTACAGTTATGGAAAATTTAAATCCAAAAGGGTTCACTCCACGTCTCAAAATAATCCGGCCATACACTTGAGCTTGAAAATAAAAGGAGCCTTCAAAATAGATATCTAAAACTTTAAATTATGCTAAATTTGCACGTACCTTCATGTGGATTAACATGCAGCAGTGCTTCCTTTCTCTTTAATTATAATATCATTGAAGATATTCTTTTCACTTAACAGGGGGAATGGATTTTAAATGGAAAAGAAGGCTGTCAGAATTTAGCTGAACTTCAGCTGTACATGTATGCTGTAAAATCTACCAATGTAGGAATCTCTAAGGACCCATTCCTCTCGCAGGTTTCTGATTTTGCAATACTTTTTGGCAATGAGCTGGATGCAGAGGTATGCTTAGTTTGGATAACAGATTGTTCTCACTCCAAGGATAATGTTCAAATTCTGTAGAAATTTTTTTTTTCAGGTCTTATCGATGTCAATGGATCTGTTTGTTGCTCGAACTATTGTAACAAAAGTATCTCTGGTTTATAGAGCACCTCTTAAGATTACAGGAGCTCAGGTTGATTTCTTTTTTCTCTTCTGTATGATAAACCATATTAAGTTTTAGCTAGAAGATGCAGAATCTGGCTTGCAATAACCTATTATGATTTTGCAGTTGGATATATTGAAGAGTTTCCATGTTAGACTCATGAGCATTGTGCTTGATGTGGATGTTGATCCCTCAACCACACCTTGGGATACAGCTAAAGCTTATCTTTTTGTCCCGGTGATTGCCTCCAAACATTTTGATGCAGTAAAAGAAATCGATTGGGGTCTGGCTGAAGGTATCGTCTCTTCGCTTGCTTGGTGTAATCCGCTCCAGAGGGCGCGCCCAGACGTTTACCTTGGTACAAACGAGCGGTCCCTTGGGGGAGACCGCAGGGAGTATGGATATGGAAAACTACGCAATGGAATGGCTTTTGGACAAAAAATGCACCCTACATATGGTATCAGGGGTGCTGTGGCACAATTTGATATTGTGAAGGCAGCGGGGTTGATTCCCTGTAGGCTGTCTGTAGAGTCTTTTGATGAAAGATATCAGTTTGGGAAATTATACATGGCGGATTGTTGTATTGATGTTAAGGATCTTATGGGGAAGATTATTACTGCTGCACACTCCGGGAAAAGGTTCTTTGTGGATTCTGTAAATCCTGATATGAATGCTGAGAATTCATTTCCTCGGAAGGAAGGCTATTTAGGGCCTTTGGAGTATAGTTCATATGCTGATTATTACAAGCAGAAGTAAGATTTCTACTAGAAATCATCTTCCTTTCTTCCCCATGTAGCAGAACTTCTGTTATATGGTGTCATCTTCATTCTACTCTTTTTAATTCATAGCTACCAATGGACTGCTAATATTCGCTCATAGGAGATTGAAATATTCCCTTCTCTAACAAACATAGATAAACTGATGTCATAGTTAATAGGTTTAATTTCATTGCGAGTTTTTTTTTTTTTTTTTTGATAAATATTGCTGTAAAACTTTGGCTTTCTTCCTGGTTTGATGAATTTGGAGTCTTTTGTGTTTTCTGCAAGTTTATCTATATTGCCCATTCCCTAAATTTTGTCTGTCATTTCAGGTATGGGGTGGATTTGATGTACAAAAAGCAACCTCTGATACGAGCACGTGGCGTGTCTTATTGCAAGAATCTCCTCTCCCCGAGATTTGAACATACTGAAGGTATGTGACATCTGGATTGAAATGACTGCATTACAACACATCCAACATCCCACCCCTAACCTCCCATAAATTGAGGGAAAAAGGGGGCATTTACTTACGTTGCACACTTCTTATGTATACATATCTCACACCTAAACATTCATATTTTCAAATATAATACTCAAATCTTTAATATCACAACAAAAATAACATTATTACTACTTTTTAAAAGTCAAAATACACATTTTCATGTATAGAATTAAGTCACCGAAGTGCTATATATGTAAATATGGAAGTTTAGGTGTGAGATATGTAATACTTAAGAATTGTGTACTACAGATGCAAACTTCCCAAATAGAAGTCTCTTTTCTAACTTCAGTTGATCTGAACAGTTTTGGGTTTAATCTTTTCATGCTGTAGCACCAGAGGGAGAATCTGAAGAGAATGTAGACAAAACATACTACGTTTTTATCCCTCCTGAACTTTGCCTTATCCACCCGCTACCTGGAAGCCTTGTACGAGCCGCCCAAAGATTACCCTCAATAATGAAAAGAGTGGAGAGCATGCTTCTTGCTATTCAGCTCAAGGAAAATATCAATTATCCTGTTCCATCTGCCAAGGTCTTGTATTCTTTTCTCATTCTTTATATCACAATATTATCCTCCATTTATGTCTGAACAGCTTTACGTACTACTTCTGCAGATCTTGGAGGCTTTGACAGCTGCTTCATGTCAGGAGACAGTCTGCTATGAACGGGCGGAGTTGCTTGGTGATGCTTATTTGAAATGGGTAGTTAGCAGATTTCTTTTTCTCAAGTATCCTCAGAAACATGAGGGTCAGCTTACCAGGATGAGGCAGCAAATGGTGAGCAACATGGTGCTTTATCACTATGCCTTAAACAAAGGACTCCAATCATATATCCAGGCTGATCGGTTCTCTCCATCCCGTTGGGCTGCCCCTGGTGTCCTTCCCGTGTTTGATGAAGAATCAAAAGAATCAAACTCATCCATGTTTGGAGAAGAATCTCATGCTAGTGATTATGAGCCTAAAATTGATTTATATGATGATTCTTCAGAAAATGACCGGGAAGATGGGGAGATTGAGGGTGATTCAAGTTGCTACAGAGTTCTTTCTAGCAAAACTCTTGCTGATGTTGTGGAAGCCTTGATAGGGGTTTACTATGTTGAAGGCGGAAAGAATGCTGTTAACCACCTGATGCGCTGGATTGGGATTCAAGTGGAATTTAACCTTCAGGAACTGGAGTTTGTAAAACCAAATTCAATTCCAGAAAGTATATTGAGGGTTGTTAACTTTGATGCACTTGAAGCTACATTGAATGTGAAGTTTAAGAACAAGGGTCTCTTGGTTGAAGCCATTACTCATGCCTCCAGGCCATCAGCTGGTGTTTCCTGTTATCAAAGGCTAGAATTTGTTGGTGACGCCGTTTTAGATCACCTCATCACACGATATCTTTTCTTCACCTACACCGATTTGCCTCCCGGACGCCTCACTGACCTTCGTGCTGCCGCTGTTAATAATGAGAACTTTGCTCGTGTTGCTGTTAAGCATAAACTCCACCTCCACCTTCGACATGGTTCAAGTGCTCTAGAGGCTCAGGTCTGCACGTCCATCATTTTCTAATTAAATGGGGTCTCTTTTATGATCTAACCATCATTTCTTATGATAAATCATACTCTATGCTCATTACAGATTCGGGACTTTGTCAAGGATGTTCAGGAAGAGCTATCTAAACCTGGTTTCAACTCCTTTGGCTTGGGAGATTGTAAAGCCCCTAAAGTTCTTGGTGATATTGTAGAATCTATAGCTGGGGCGACTTTCTTAGACAATGATCTTGATACCTCAGTTGTTTGGAAGGTAAGAGCTCTTAAACTCGTTAAGTTTTTGGCATTATTATCGGGAACGGATGGTGAATTTTGTTTAGATTAATATTGATTTTGAATATCTCACTTTAATCTAGTTTTTGTTCGTATTATTTTGAATCATTTGGTATTATCTTGTATTGTTTACGTTAGCATTTTGTTTTTTCTACTATTTTTTTCTTGTATTGCATTAACTTTTGATTATTTATTTGTTAACAAATTGTATTATTTGAAATAATTGTTAGAAGTATTGGTGTATTGTTTCTAGTGGTTATCTTGTTGTAATGATTAGTAATTGATATTATTATTCTTTTTATTAATTATGTTAGCTTGTTTATTCTAATTAAGTATTGTGCCTTGTAAGTGTAGAGTATAGATTTAATATTGTTTGACCCTGAAATAGTAAAGAACTATAAAAATTACAGCAGTAGATCATGGCAAACCTACCAAATGATATAGATCAACCTATCTTTCATATCTTGGGCTGTAAATTTAGCTCAAAGATTGTTAATTGATTCGAATTTTGGCTCGGAAATAACTGAGCTGATCTGTGAGCCAAAACTTTGGATCGAATTTTTTGCGAGCCGATTGCAAGTTATACATGAAACAAATCGGACTGACTCGAGATTGACTTGAGATTGGCTAATATTTTTTATTTATAAAAAAATCACATACAAATTAGCAACACTCTTTATATATATATATATATATATATATATATATAATGCTAAGTAAAATTGAGTACAATAAGTCATGAGCCTATTCGAGTCCAATTAACTCAATTTGAGCCAGTTAGATTTAATTTTGAGCTGAATCAAGCCAATTCCGAGTTGAAACGGATCCAAATAGCTCAATTTAAGCTAGCTCATCTCAATTTCGAGCCATACGAGCTCGATCCAATTTTGAGCTGGCGCGGCTCCAAATCGAATGTAACGAGCCACTAGCTGATTTCGAGCCACACTAAATCTATTCAAGCCAACCCCAGCTTTGCTCAAAATCGGATTTTTAACAGCCCTATTCATGTCTCTCTCTGTTGTTCTATGATCAACAACTGATTATTCATCTTTCCCTTCTCAAGGTTTTCCAGCCATTGCTTCAACCAATGGTGACCCCAGAAACTCTTCCCATGCATCCCGTCAGAGAACTCCAAGAGCGCTGCCAGCAACAGGCGGAGGGATTGGAGTACAAATCTTCTCGAATGGGTAATCTGGCTACCGTAGAAGTCTTCATAGATGGCGTCCAGATAGGAGCAGCGCAGAACCCACAGAAAAAAATGGCCCAGAAGCTTGCAGCAAGAAATGTGCTAGCCTTTCTGAAGGAGAAGGAAGAGAAGGAGAAGAAGGCGAAGGAAGAGAAGGAGAATGAGTTGAGAAAAGATGGGAACCATGGAGAGAAGAATGGCAACAATGGCCAGGTGTTTACCAGGCAAGCTCTCAACGATATATGCTTGAGGAAGCAGTGGCCGATGCCGCACTATCGGTGCGTGAATGAAGGCGGCCCTGCGCACGCCAAGCGATTCATCTACGCGGTTCGCGTCAACACATCCGATCGCGGGTGGACGGACGAATGCATCGGGGAGCCGATGCCCAGCGTTAAGAAGGCCAAGGACTCTGCAGCGGTTCTTCTCCTTGAGCTTCTGAAGAAAGTTTATCCTGAAAACTAGTAGTCTGGTTTTCTTATGCTTGATGATGATGAAGGTTTTGTTTGCTTCAGGACTTTTATTTTGTTTATACAATGTGATTGGGTTATTTATTTATTTATTTACTTATTTATCATTGGAAAGAAAAATATTATGTCGAGTCCGGATGTATTTGGATTTCATTTGTACGCAATGTATAACGATTTGTACTTGTACAACCATATTGTACGATTTTCTTTTTTTAATTTCATGTAATATATAATTTCATATTTACCTACTATTTGTTGTAATTTCAAAATTTGAATTCTATAATAATATTTATTTCTCACGAGTGTGTGTTAAATTATGATATTAGTTGGACATTCATTACCACAACAAAATGATATGGGCTTAAGGCTGATCCTTGATGTAATCCAATTAAAATAGGAAAATTCTTTGTCAATCCTCATCCGCTTCAACATTAGTAACAACTACATATCTTTAATGACATGATTATAAGTCATACTATCACTTTTTTTTTTCCAACTCTTCAAAATACTTATCTTAGAACTTTATCAAAAACTTTTTTCTAAATCAACAAAAATCATACGTAGATTCTCCTTACGTTTTATGTACTTCTCCATCAAACCTCTCAATAAATGTATAACTTTCATTGAAGCCTTGTCAGACATAAATCCAACCCGTTTTGACGAAATTTTTGTATCATGTCTAGCCTATGTTCAATCACTCTTTTATGATACATTAACTTGATTCCTCTCTAATTTGCACACTCTTGTGTATCTTTCTTATTTTTAAAGAGGGCCAAAATACTCATTCTTCGCTCATCAGGTATATTTTTAATTTTTAAAATAATATTAAAAATGTTAGTAAGTTAAGAAGTTTCAAGTTCCCTAAACATTCACTCACTTCTATTGGAATACCATTATCTTCTACTGATTTTTCACAATTAATTTCTTTAAAGCTTCAACTTCCATTTTACTAATGCGATGAGAGAAATAAAAAATGTTATTATTAATAATATTGTGATTACTAAAGTCGATCGTATTTTCAAAATTTTCGTTGAAAAGTTTATCAACTTATCTCACTCACATATGTTGAATTTTCTCATCCATGGATTTTTTTTTTTTATTTTCATCCTTAATGTACTTGAACTAAAATTTTATTTTCCTTATCTATTTATTTGACTAGTCTATACGCCATCTTTATTATATAATCTATTATATAGATAACTAAAAATAAAATTTTAAGCATAATAAATTGTTCTCATAAACTCTCTATAGACCACCGTATTTTTTTTTCCAAATTCTCCAAGTCTTTACAATTAAATTAATTTTTATATATTTTTTATATTTTATCTTTTCTTACACACTATTATTCAACAAACAATTATTTTTTTATTTATAAAAGTTTACTTTTTGATTCTCCAAGTACATCTTTTTCAACTTGTTTAATAGCCAGTGTTCATTATTTTTTCCTACATAGCATTAACTTCTTGATGAACATTTTATATTTTAAGACCATGAAGTTTACTCATAAAAAAAAAATTTTATTTATGTTTTTTAAGTGTCTCCTTATTTTATGATAATATTTCAATATATTTTTTATCTTACAACCTTTCAACTTAAAATTCAAAACCAATAATCAATGCTTAGTACTTAAATTTTTTACTTAGAATGATTTTATGATGTTTACAATCTCTGATTTATTCTTCTAATAAGAAAATAATTAATTTATATTTTATTAGATACATTTTTATAAATGTTAATATGTTTATATCTTTTTCTAAAATAAAATATTATCAATAACAAAATTGTAAGCTAAAAAAAAAAATTAATCTAACCCTATGTCTTCATTAGTTACTCCAAAACTTTAGTCATTACGAATATTTTTAAAATCTCTTACAATTCTACCAACATGTCAATTTAAATTTTATCCATTAAAAGTTCTTTCTTCAGTAGGTATGATTTATTTTAATTCTAATAGGTCATTCCATAACTTTTTTTTTAACATATAACTAAATCAACTTAACAAACGAAATCACTTATAACATTAGTATCAACAATAATCTAGTATCAACAATAATCTTTATGACTATAATTTTATCATCAATTCTATTAATTTTAATAATATTATATTTTGGATTCCTATCTATAATTACACATTATTTATAGTAGAACTCCTACTTAAATACTAAAGTTTAAAACTTAAGCAATCAATCTCCTTAGCGATTTCTCAAATCCATTTAGTTTCTTGAATTCATAAGATATTTATCTACCTAGGAATCATAATATTTACTAATTACATTTGTATACGTATGAGAGAACCAACATTATAAGTTCCTATTCTAATATTAGTTTCATGAACTAACTTTTTTGCTTGCATCCATCCAAATGAGGGAGTTATTGCTTATTTAATACTACACTCAGACTCTGGTGTAGCGAACCTTGCACACTTTTCATTATACTCAGGCAATACATCACGTCGATTCTAAGATGCCATATTATTTATACAATGATTTAAGAGAATAATGATCATGATTTTTGGGTAAAATTTTAAGCTGTTTGTTGACTACTAACACAATACTGTATTTTTTCATTCGGGACTTCAGACCCAACAATGTTAGTGTAAAAATATTATTGTCGATCTATTAAATAAAAATATTCTTTTTCTTTTACATTAGTTTCAATTGTAGAAAAATCTTTGGATATAAATTTCCCAATAGTAACTCATGCTAGACCATCCATTATAAGAGTATTGGTAGATGTATATGACACCCTACAATTTCTAAGCTCGATCTAGATTAGTTTGAATGACTCTATTTACTTCAAAAAATATAATAATGAGGATTCTAAAATTGTGATGTAATTATTATCAGTTATAAACTAAATCAACTTAACAAACGAAATCACTTATAACTTTAAAAATATTAATATCAACAATAATATTTATGACTATAATTTTATCATCAATTCTATTAATTTTAATAATATTATATTTTGGATTCCTATCTATAATTACACATTATTTATAGTACAACTCCTACTTAAATACTAAAGTTTAAAACTTAAGCAATGAATCTCCTTAGCAATTTCTCAAATCCATTTAGTTTCTTGAATTCATAAGATATTTATCTACCTACGAATCATAATATTTACTAATTACATTAGTATACGTATGAGAGAACCAATATTCTAAGTTCCTATTCTAATATTAGTTTCATGAACTAACTTTTTTGCTTGCATCCATGCAAATGTGGGAGTTTTTGCTTATTTAATACTACACTCAGACTCTGGTGTAGCGAACCTTGCACACTTTTCATTATACTCAGGCAATACATCACGTCGATTCTAAGATGCCATATTATTTATACAATGATTTAAGAGAATAATGATCATGATTTTTGGGTAAAATTTTAAGCTGTTTGTTGACTACTAACACAATACTGTATTTTTTCATTCGGGACTTCAGACCCAACAATGTTAGTGTAAAAATATTATTGTCGATCTATTAAATAAAAATATTCTTTTTCTTTTACATTAGTTTCAATTGTAGAAAAATCTTTGGATATAAATTTCCCAATAGTAACTCATTCTAGACCATCCATTATAAGAGTATTGGTAGATGTATATGACACCCTACAATTTCTAAGCTCGATCTATATTAGTTTGAATGACTCTATTTACTTAAAAATAATGAGGATTCTAAAATTATGAAGTAATTATTATCAGTTATTTAGTCATGAAGATTATCTTTATGGTCAAAAATGTTTTAGAGAATATTAATGCTCTTGACTCATTAATCTTTTCATTAGAATATAAGCTCTCCCACAAGTGTTTCTTGTAAATTTGGATGCTTCTATGCTTTTTCTATCATAGTCTCCTAAAAAAGCACTTCCCATAAAAATTAGAGGCATTTACATACATACCACACAATTCTTATGTATTTACATATCTAAAGCCCAAACTTTCATATTTAGAATCATAACACTCAAATCCTTAATATCACATCAAATACACCAATGTTTCCAACTTTTATATGTGAAATACAACTTTTCATGCATAGATTTAAGACCATCGTGTTATAAAAGTAAATTTCAAATATTAAGTGGTAGATATGTGAACATACAAGAGTTATGTAGTATCTATGTAAATCCCCCTAAAAGTTAATTATCAAAATAACATAATGATTTACTTATTAATATTGCTCCTAACCTAAGTGCTCCTACTATTAAGATGAGAATTTTCTTATTGATGGTAATACTTCCCATTCTATACTTGGTAGAGAACACCATATTCACATTTATTTAATTTTTTATCACTACTTATAAATTCTTTTCACTGAATGTATGAAGATCTCAGATGGATAAAAAATTCATATATGATAATATTGTGTCGTACTATTTTCCTCCTAATAATGGACGAGTCGCTGAAACAACTATCAACAGTAGATGATTGATTTATATGAAAAGAGATGTTAGAAAGAGACTGGTTTAAGATAAACAAGAGTCTTTGTGGCTTGATCCAAAATTTCTTATCTTAGGAAATCAAATATGGGGTAATGACGGAGATTTCTATAGAAAAATTATGGAGATTACTGGAAAACAAATATTTCATAAAGAGCATGGAGAATCATCTTTATATGAAGTGTTGAATTTAAAAGTATTAAATGAGACGTAGATGTTGCTATTGATGAATACTTGAATGATTTTATAAAGCTTTTGGAATATCTGTTGAATCTAGATGAGAATGCTGGAGATAAAGACAAGACACTACTTTTGCTGAATTTGCCCTCGATTGAGAATGAAATCTTTATGATGACACACATTCAGAAGAATGACGTATTTAATTGTGATGAGACGACTATGACGCTGAAACATGATTTTTGTTGAAGGGACAAGAATTTTGCAAAGATGAAGTTGGCCGCGATACTTACACTTCAACATGATAGATATGAGAAGAAGAAAAATTGGTTAAAGAAGGGTGACAGTGACGATACTTCTCAAATGCGAGACAAGTCTTGTGGGTGTAATCTTATAAAAAATTAATGTGCTTTATGTTTAAAGATTGTTGATTGAAATAAAGATTATCTTAAGTTGAATGAGAAGGGAAAAAAAATTCTTTTAGGCAAAAGCTAATCTTATTGTGCAGAGGTATGACTAAGCATATTTTGATGTATCGTTAACCACAATTTCTCATAGCTTGTTTATA